ATTGGAACCGCCTCTTTCCTTGCGGCTTTCTGCGTTTGGCGCCCTCAAAGGAATCCGCTTTGGCGGAAAGGTCGTGACTCGGCAGCATATTCCTTGCAGGCCGCTTTCTTTGGCGGCGGCATGGGTTGTCCTTCACATTGAAAGAGCTCAATCCCCTTGAGAACACATTGGTGTGGCTCAAAATTAAACAGGAGGGGTTACGCAGGTTTTGGTTCATGTTTCCACTTACCAGGGTTCCATTTTGGTACCGGTTTCTTGAGCCACAGCAACGTGTTGCTGCTTCTGTGGGCTGGCAGGCTCCACTCTCGACTCTTGCATTCACGGTTTTCGTTTCACTTGAAGAGTAGCAGCACCTAGCAAAAAGAAACCAAAACCGAACACACAGAAGAGACAACTAACAAAGGATAGGATCGCAGTGGGTCAGCAACCAGCAATGACCAGCAAGGAAAATACACTCAATGGATGGGCTCATACGAGGCAACATGCTCATTATCAGAGACAACTATAGTAAAGGTGCTTTATTCAAGACTGTGTTTTTGCATTTCCTAGCAGCACGATAGCGGACGCACACTTTAAGGTAGTCATACAGCGTAAGTGTAAACTGGTTTTTTCTTTAGTCTTGGGTAAGGTGTTGCGTTGGTTTCTACGGTTTTTTTATTCTTCGCTGGACGAACTGGCACTGCCGGAGGATGAAGCGGAACTCAACAGCACCTGCTGCATGCTTCTTCGCTGCAGCCTCGCGCCCGGTTTCTCTAATTGCCAGGCTGCGGGTGTCCAGCAACCCTGCCAATGCTTGGTCCACTGCGATTACCAGCAAACGGCGCTGGGCTCCCTGTCTTCACGTCTCCGCTGTGTCACGACGTGAGCGCTCTGTGCCCATAGCGGGCCCTTTATGCTTTAGCATGTCGGGGTCATTGGCGGGAGATCGATGGGGTATCGACAGGGGTCTTGTCGTGGGCGCGTGCCGTGTCACAACAAAAGCAAGCTCGCTACAAGCGTTTAGAGTTAGGCAAGCACACGCTAGCCATCCAACTTTCAGTACAAGCGCAGGACGCAAGTTACGCATGGAGGTTCCAGCTCGAAAGTATAGTTTCTGGCGCCCGCACTGGCGGACGCCTGTCTGCGCGGCAGACATGCGCATGTGATGAGCATGCCGTTGGTCGTGCGTGTGCGACGTGCCGTGCGCGTCGCGTGCGCGTGCGCGTGTGCGTGCGCGTGTGCGAGTGTGTGCGTGTGTGCGTGCGTGCGTGCGTGCGTGCGTGCGTGCGTGCGTGCGTGCGTGCGTGCGTGCGTGCGTGCGTGCGTGCGTGCGTGCGTGCGTGCGTGGCGTGCGTGCGTGCGTGCGTGCGTGCGTGCGTGCGTGCGTGCGTGCGTGCGTGCGTGCGTGCGTGCGTGCGTGCGTGCGTGCGTGCGTGCGTGAGTGCGTGCGTGCGTGCGTGCGTGCGTGCGTGCGTGCGTGCGTGCGTGCGTGCGTGCGGGCGGGCGGGCGGCGTGCGTGCGGGCGGGCGGGCGTGCGTGCGTGCGTGCGTGCGTGCGTGCGTGCGTGCGTGCGTGCGTGCGTGCGTGCGTGCGTGCGGCGCGTTGCGTGCGTGCGTGCGTGCGTGCGTGCGTGCGTGCGTTGCGTGAGCGCGTTGCGTGGGGCGTGTGTTGTGTGTGGGTGTGTGCGCGTGTGTGTGTGTGTGTGTGTGTGTGTGTGTGTGTGTGTGTGTGTGTGTGTGTGGGTGTGGGTGTGTGTGTGTGTTTGTGTGGGTGCGTGTGTGTGTGTGTGTGTGTGTGTGTGTGTGGGTGGGGGTGGGTGGGTGCGTGCGTGCGTCCGTACGGGCGGGCGGGCCGGCGTGCGGGCGTGCGTGCATGCGTGCGTGGGTGCGTGGGTGCTTGGGTGCTTGGGTGCGTTCGTGGGGTGCGTTCGTGGGTGCGTGCGTGGCGGTGCGGTGCGGTGCGGTGCGGTGAGGTGTGGTGCGGTTCGGTGCGGTGCGGTGGGGTGGGGTGGGGTGGGGTGGGGTCGTTTAGTGCCTGATGAACCCTCTGCATGGATCGCACGTCTCGGAGTGCTCTCACTGCGGCGCCATGCCCGATAAACCTACAAGCATCTCCAGGGACGCTGCGTGGCCATGCACTCTCACTGTGGCGCAATGTGAAATCGAGAAGTGCGATTTTGAAAAGCGCCCAATGAGTCGTCTACAGGGATCGCGCGTGCCCAAGCGGCCCACACAGCAAATATTCACGTTGGCTGATCTACTAATTGCACCGCCTGTTTTGCATAACCTGGTGTCCCCTACTTATTTATCAAACAAAGTTTTCCACGGAACGCCGTCAAATGTATTGGAGCCCTAGCGTGTAGTGGCCGCGCCCTTGTTAGGGTGCACACTCCGCGGGAAAGGCGTTGAAATTGGAAGTCACCAGTGGTTGCTTCTAAGTCCACAGTTGGCGCAGTTCGCCTTGGCATCCCTTGGCTTCACAAAATGGCATCACCCCCTTAAAGGGCTTTGAGCTTTTCCCTACCGGTTGATTCTGCAACAGTTGTAACGAGCTCTTCTGACGGAAAACAAACTACTCATAATGAAGGATCCTTTATTGGATTAGTTTTGATTTTGTCAAAGGGGTCGGGACCTACACGGCGTGACAGGTTGTTGCAAAAGTCTCATTCACACGAACCAGGGATATTGTTTAGTAGTAACTTGCTCAGATCTATACCTCAGTGCAAAGCACATGGCGAAGTCATTTATTTCGGCAAGTAGAGGTATGATTCAACCGATGACAAAGATTAATTGCTCGATGAGTAATAAGGCTCAAAGCAGCTTTTGCTTAGAGGACTCTCCATCTCGAGAACCCCCACCGAAAAGGGTTCTGAGTTAATTCGCAGGGGGTATCTTTTTCCCAGGTTGCAACTCATTTTTGGCACAGGCAATGCAGCCGCAGCCGAAGCGTGTGTTCGGGACTCAGCAGATTGGACCAGTGCGGATTCCAGCGCTTTTGACGGGAAGATACCCCCCATTGACATTGAACCCCAAAAAGACGTGGCCCGAAAGCGTCCTGTTACACATGCAGGGGGGTAACGGCAACGAGTTCAGCACATCCCTGCTCCGCCTGTGTCTGAAAACTGTCAAATGGGCCCTTGTCAGACCCTTAGTTAACCCTTGGGTCTTACACCTAACGTGCCTGGTATTGAGGGGTCATTCCATTGTGAGCTGCAAAGTTCTCACCAGATCCATGCAAATGCCGCCTGTTCGATGCCGCAAAGTACGCATATCATGTTCCGTTCCGCAGAAGAACGATTTCTGTTTGCCTGCGCCTTTTTTATGGAAGTGCGGTCAGATCATATGTGGAGCGGCCCAGTGGAAACTCTGATGGCCAGTAGCTTTCAAGATCCGTGCAATTAACTGGGAGCCTTCATTGCAATAACGGCAATAACATACCTTGTCTTTTTGCATGCAGTTGGCAAGACACCAAAAGGGGAGGCGAGCATACCCAAGTTGATCAGATGAGGGCTTGATTCACATATACCGCATACCCTATTTGTTTGGTACAATGAGGTTTCCTAATGGCCTGTGGTTCAGATACCCTATTGGTGTTGTTTATGATTCAGAGACTTTTTTGTGGACCGCTTTGTCAAAGCCAGGTTTGTACAAGGAATCAACATGACATCAACCGATTGCAGTCGCCCGTAGATTCGGCACATTCCAAAGCTTTCACACACACAGGTGATTCGGACTCTTGGGGGATACGTGGGAGATTGCGTCCCTCGCCCGTATCGCCTGGTTGACGCCTATCCTGAGAGGAATACACCTAAGACTTCCAACTCAGGCGCCATTTCACAAGGGATCCTGGAACCTGAAAGGAATCACCTGAGGAGAAAGCTTTGAATGGGCGAGGACGAGCGTTTCGGGTCCTCTCAGGCATTCTTGCTGGTTCGCGAATGGAACCCAAGATTCAGCCTCACACAAACTTATCATTGCCAAGTTGATTAGTCTGCGGTCAACATGATTATTTACGGCCCTGGAGGCTGTGTCGAATCAGCTTTCCACTTGGCCATAGAGTTTTCACTTCGGAGTGCCGCCGAATCGGTCGACAGTCGAGGCCAGTGCCATGCTTTCAGCCAGCGGCGCCTGAGAGTAAACCAGCAGGGGCCGGGCATGGTGACCGGTGCCAAGCGAATGGCATGTTGCCATGGGGGCGGTTTTTAGAATAGTGGTCTTTCAAATGGTTTGCTTCCTCTTGGTGTGCCTTCAAATACCAACCTAAAAGGCTCGTTTTTCGCGAGTGAGACTGTTGATGCTCGGGTGGGAAACGCGTTGGGAGTTCGCCCAGGCCATGGTTGACAACTGTAGGTGTCCCATTTCAGACAAAAGCACTCTGCGAGTTGAGCGGGGCTGCGGCTTTGCCGAATAGGTGTAACGCGTTACAGGGGCGGAGATCACATAAGCCACCCCTCTTGCGTAAGCTCGCAGAGTTTGCAGTAAGCCGCATGGCTTGCAGTCCAGTTTGCAACAAGTTTCGATCCTAGAGCTTGACAGGTTGATCGTGTGGCGCTAAGTCTTTGAGGTGTCTTACGCCATACAGAATATGCCGGAGGAGAGAAGCGGGTCAGAAGAACCTTTGTTACATGGAACAACTTACCAAACAGAGAGGGCGAGTAGATGAGTTTGGGCGTTTGACTTATGTGTCAAAGCATATTTCGGGTCGCACACAGATAATCTGTGCAATGAGGCCTGTTTGCACTCCCGGTTCCTGAGTTGTTGGGGACTTCCGTGGGCAAGCCACAAACGTCTTAGGCTACATGTTTTTGGCACGGAGCAAATGTGTTCCCTTTTGGTTTGTTGGTTGGGTAAGGTGTGTGCAGGGCGACATTCGGCCCCTGGAACCAAGCGCAACTTTGCCTTTGGTAGGCCTTGTCCGAGTCAAGATGATGCCGGAATGCGTGTTGTGTAATTATTCAGCTGTTCAGCATGGTTGCGTCGTAAAACGCGCGGTGAATGCAGGGTGTATCCCAATCTCACGTT